GTTTTGCTGTTATTTAAGGTTTATTTTAAATTTTACAATATTAAAAAAGTCTCTTGCGAAGCTTCATCAGATTTATGACAATTTGCTGGATACAAGTGATGAATAAATATACTAAAAAAAACTGATATGAAAGAAATGGAAATTTTTAAATGGTCATCGTACCACAAAAAGGAAATACAAACACCCCATTTGGGATGATCGCAACAACTAATCCTACCTAGAATGGTTGAAAGCTCAAGTTCCCTCGACATGTGGTCTCCAAGCATCCTTAATTAACTCTCGGATGGATAACATCTCTCCATTCTCTCCATGGCGGAATCAAATATGATATGATAAAGGTCCTTCCCGTGCCAAGCCTTCTAACCCTGCTATCTGCTATAATGAGCGCTGGATGACCAACTGGTTTCCCACCGTTTGGCGTACAATTAAAATAGTGCCCATTCCTAAACCCGGAAAAGATCTTGAAATATTCACTAACTTCACATCCATATCCCTCGTGCCCGTTCCTCCAAAAGTTTCCAACCAAATGATTAAAAAAAGACTAACAAATTTCCTGAACCACTCACACCTTCTCCCGTCAAGGTCCTTTGCTTACCAAAAAAATATCTCCACCGGTATGTGAAGTCTTTTTCACAATTGCAAATGAAAAAGCAAATGGAAACCAGGTAGTTATGCTTTGCTTAGACATTAATAAAGCTTATGACTGCGTTAATTTAGTGAAATTGGACAAAATTCTATCTGATTTTAAAATCCCGAGACAAAGTAAGCATTGGGTTCTCAACTTGCTTTCCTCGCGAACATATGTTAAATAAACGAGTATTTTTGTTAAGGTTTACAGAAGAAATAAGCAAATTTGTTTCGTCGTTTCGAATTGAGGTAGAATAACGTCTTGGTAAAATGGTGCGTTTGAGCAAAGCTCCCATCTAAGCAATTGAACTTAATTGTAGGTGCTGCCATGCGTTTGGATAAAGCACCTATGATACGTTTCAACCAGCGAACTCTCGATTTTAATGTCACAGATTTGGGTCGCACAGCTTCGCATTATTATATAAAATACGATACGATAGAAATATTTAATGAACTTACAAAACCGTTTATGAACGAAGGTGATATTTGTAATGATATCGCGAGCCCAAAATCTAGTCTCTGATATGTCGTACATCGGGCAAAATATAACACGCATTGCGCGAGCTTTATGCTCCATTGTCTTGAGGAATAATGATTCGATACTTGCATGGCGTATATTACAAGTGTGCAAAATGTTTGAACGACAACAGTGGGATTCGATTTCGAGAGTCCTATGCGTCAGTTCTCGCATATCAATATCGAGACTATAGATAAATTAGAAAGCAGGGGTGTTAGTTTATACACACTTCGTGAAATAGATCATAATGAGCTAAAGGAGATAGTAAGTAACAGTAAATATGCTGAGCAGGTCTTACGTGCAGCTAAAGAATTGCCCATGCTCAATGTTGATGCCACTTTGCAGCCCATAACGCGTACAGTGTTACGTATTAAAATCAATATATGGCCAGACTTAGTTTGGAATGATCGGGTACATGATAAAACAAGTCAAAATTTTTGGTTATAGATTGAAGATCCCGAATCCAATTTTATCTATCATTCTGAATTGTTCCAGGTTTTTTTACCAATCCGCAATTACAATTCTATTACAAAAATAAATAATTTCTGTTTATGTGCTTTCTTCATGTTAAAATACACTTTTTAGGCGACGCGCAAATTTGTCTACAGCCAAAAACCACAAAAACTGGTGACGACAATACCTCTCAAAGAGCTTTTACCGCCACAATATTATATACGAGTAGCGAGTGACACTTGGCTGGGTACTAATGCGTGGACTCCATTAACTTTTAAGTACTTAGTGCTACCGGAATACCATCGCCCTCTTACTGAACTTTTGCCGCTGCAACCTTTAGCTGTTAGTGCTCTGAAAAATCCAGTCTATGAATCTTTATATAATTTTACGCATTTCAATCCTATACAAACTCAAGTCTCTCATTGCCTTTATTATACTGACAATAACGTTTTGCTGGGCGCACCCACAGGTTCAGGTAAAACTATAGTGGCGGAAATCGCCATACTTCGAACGCTCAATAATTATGAAAGAGCTAAGGTTGTTTATATTGCGCCTTTGAAAGCTTTGGTTAAGGAAAGAATTAGCGATTGGATTCTCAACTGATAGTTACCACACCAGAAAAATGGGATGGTATCAGTCGGTCTTGGCAGACAAGAGAATATGTACAGGATGTTGTACTAATTGTTATAGACGAAATACATTTCCTGGGAGAAGATAGAGGTCCTGTCATTGAAGTAATTGTGTCACGTACGAATTTCATTACGTCACACACCGGATGCAATATACGTATCGTTGGTTTATCTACTGCTTTGGCCAACGCTCAAGATCTCGCCAATTGGCTGGATATTAAGGAAATGGGGTTATGTAATTTTAAACCTTCGGTAAGACCGGTTCCTTTACAAGTGCATATAAATGGGTAATTAAACCGAATTGAATAACTTTTCTGCCTTTTCTTTAATCATTTATTTGCAGGCAAACATTACTCACCACGGATGGCCACTATGAATCGGCCGACATTCCAAGCAATACGCTCTTATTCGCCAACGGAACCCACCATAGTTTTTGTTTCCTCCCGCCGTCAAATTCGATTAACCGCTTGGGATCTGATTACTTTAGATACTTACGAAGAGGTAAATGAGATAACGATAGAAAAAGTGTGTTGCTGTAATATATTTCTTCTTTACTTCTTTGCTAGATTCTTCTGCCGGTGCCGTCTGTGCTCCCGGTGATGTAAAATACCTTAACAAGCTTAAACGCTACATTATCAGTAACATATACACTTATACTTACATGGTTGGCATTTTTACAAATTATTGAGAACATATATACGCTTATTCTCTAAAGGCACCAATTTTATACGCTTATTCTTTAAAAGCTTTAAAAAAATACCCGTATTAGATTCATATACAGTCGAAGTCTGTGGAGGTTTACCTCAAGGTAGCTGTCTCAGCCCAGTTCTTTTCAATCTATACACAGCCGACTTACATCAATTACAGGACAATACTACCCATTTATTTCAATATGCTGACGATTTCCTCATCATCTCTGCTGGAAAAGCATTAGTAGAAGCAGTCCGTAACCTTGACATTAAACCCAATCTTTTTTAAAGACTTTGTGCAGACTTAAATCTAACTTTCAACCCGGAAAAATCAAAAGTCGTCCGTTTTGCTAAGGATCACAGAAAAATTTTTTACATTACAATCAATGGTATAAAAATCAGCCTGTCTTACTCTTTTTAATTTTTGGGCAGAATAGTCAACTCAAGTTTAACCACGCATGAGCATTACAAGGATAGCCTCGAAAATTGCAACACAGGCACAAATGTCATCAAACTTCTGACCAACATTCACACCGGACTCCCACCTAGGAAAGCTTTAAACGTTTACAAATCTATTGTCAGATCCAAAATTGAATATTCTTACCCTACATGGTGCAATGCTCCTGCGTGTACATTAAAAAAAATACAAACCTTTCAGCACTCAATCCTAAGACGTTGTACCGGTTTGTCCCCCTCAACACCAACATAAATTTTACGTTCCATCTCTTATGAACTCCCCGTTGCTAAGAGAATTTATCTTGTAAGTGCAAAAGAACTTCTCAAGGTAAAAATCTTTAAACCTGCCTTCTTTGAGGAAGTCGTTTCCAAACACAATCACGTCATCAGTAGTTACTCTAACTGCTTCAAAAAATTCACTAACATCTTCAATAAAGTTAACTCAATACCCTCTTGGAATAATATTATTCATGATAAATGCGTAGTGCAATTAAACTTACTTAATACGCTCACCAACTCAAAAAAAAATCGGTCTTGTCTTCGCTTCGTCGAAAATAACTTCAAAATATATGCAACGGATGGATCTGTCAATTCGGATATTTTTAGTTTTTCAATTATTGAATACCCAAAGTTACTTTTAGGAAAATTCAAAGTTCTACAAGAACTATCATCTAATTTCATTGAACTTCTGGCCATCAGAGAAGCAATCCTCCATGGATCTGAAATTAAGCTGAAAAAATTTGTAGTTTTCTCTGACAGCAAATCTGCTCTGACTTTAATCAAGAACAAGGACCCATTCAATATGTATGTCTTCGATATCTACAACCTTTTAAAAGACCTAAGCATTGAAAAATGCCACATTATCTGGATCCCAGGTCACAGCGGTTTTAGTATCAATGAAAAAGCTGACTTCCATGCTCGTCAAGCTAGGTTTGATGGTACGGTTTTGTCCATAAACTATCCCCCAGAGAAGCTCTTCTGTTAGTCAAAAAACTTATCGTAAAAGAATGGAAAGACAAGTATCAGTTTTAACTAGAGAAAAAAGTGATCGGCTTTTCTACAAAATTTACACTTTTTTGACACCCACACTTCTACCTACAGGAAAATTTACAATATGGGAATTTAAAGTTCTTCACCGTCTTATGAATAATCACACTTACGACAAGGTTTATTTTAAAATGATCAATGATCACTGACATTCTTAGACAGTCTTTCAGTATATATAACTTGTATAACAATTTATATGAAATTTTTCGTGCTGGTAACTTTAGGCATTTGAAGCCTTTATCAAATCAGCTGATTTTTCGTTCTAATGTTGCATTTATAATTTGTTTTGCAATCACGAATCGCCTATGGTTTTTCGTTTGTCGGCATTTCTAGCCGGATTTTTGACTGTACAGTACCAAGTACGGTGATTTATGGGTTAACAGCGGAACAGAGCTTCTCATAGCGAACACTGTTAAATCAGTCTCTACCTATGCTCAAACTTTTCATCAATCGCTTTCAACTACGGATCTAATATTAACTTAACTGGTCCAATCCATTTCCTAACAAATCAAAAAAAAAAAAAAAAATAAGAAAGTCTACTGAAATATACTGTATATTATTTTCATTTCATTTTCATATATGCAATGCCGCTAAGATGTCTGTTTTATAAATAAATGAAATGTGGATTATATGATTTTGTTTTGTTTTCATAAATACATTTGCATGTTGGCTCTTGCGTCACGCAGAACGCATTTTGTCAGCACTTCGTTTTGATAGTAGTGAAGGAGAACGTAGAAAGCAATTATTGTGTTTCGCTTTAAAATGTCTAAAAGGATTATTTTCGCAGGTCATTATTGAAAAGATTTTAATTAACTTAGTATTGAATAAATTTATTTCATCCAAACCAGAAAATCTTGGTCTTTCCTCTAGCGACGATGAAGAAAATATAGGAGCAATTGAGTTGGACAAGGACATGTGCACGTCGTCTGAAATTGATAGCCTTTTTAAAATTAAATACAAAATTGCTCATGAGATGTCGGCAACCATGAAAAGGGAATTCATAATGAAATTATGCACAAACACGTAAGTGAAATGTAAATAAATGAAATCCAAACTAGGCCAATTAATACATTGCAGTTCGTTTACAAAAGTTGCCGCTGGCACTTCGGGCGCGACAGTGTACATATATGACATATGCCAAGAACGAGGACTAATAAAATCTGCATGCCTACCTTGCTCATCCTCAATCAGCGATCAACCAGCAAGTATATGTGGACTTAATTTCTTGAATGAGGATTCTAGCATATTGGTAGTAGGCACCACAGCCGGACACTTATTCGTCTATGATGTGCGACAAAACTATAGCCGGATGAGTTTTAAAAGGGGACCCAAACATTTAGATGTTCCTAAAGATTACCTTTGCTTGGATCGAAACGCGAATAGTCGTTTGCTTTGCGTGGGAACAGCAAACTATCGCGATATGGTGCAATTACTGTTTTTCGATTTACGCCAACGTAAACTAATGGGGTGCTATTCTGAGAGTCATCAAGGCGACATGACCGATATAAAGTTTCATCCCCAAAATCCCGATATTTTATGTACTGGATCCGTCGATGGTCTTATAAACATATTTGATCTTCACGAGACATCAGAGGAAGACGCTTTGTTAACTACTTTTAATTCTGAAAGTAGTGTTTACAAACTAAACTGGTATGTAAAATGAAATTGTAATTAGGTTTTTTGTGCTCATCACCAAAGTTTCCCATTATTGCGCCGTAAAATTCATACACATTGGACCAACGTTAAACTCCATTTAACAGGCTTGTAGTACTAAACCTTCCTTAAAAGGAAAGTTGAAAACTTACATATAGGGTCACAGTTTGTGGTTGCAATTGAAAATTGGTATAACCAAACCTAAGGCATCAATAAATGGGAAAAATATAAAAAAAAAAATTTAAATCAATTTTGGACCTCATTTAAATGTAAATGCGTTTTAATAGAAAACCATATATACTAACAAAAATCCAAGCATATAACATAAACCTACGTATTTTAACAGAAATCGCAAAATTTTAAGAAAAATGCATTTTAACTAAACCCACGCATTTTGACGGAAAACTCTAGACTTTTTTTGGAAAACTATGAACAGCTTAATAATTTTGTTCTTATTTAACACTAAGTTTACGGACGTTTTTACCTACCACACGTAAATTTGACGGATGAGCGAATACATATAACAATACATATAACAACACTTAGAAAGCAATGTAATTACACAAAACTAAAATATGAGGTATATATTCATGGAAAGTTTTCATTATTCAGTAATTTTATTCATTATTTGAATATTCTACATTCATTTCGCGCATCTTTTGCAAAAGCACTCAATTTTGTTTGTGCAATTTCCACAAAAAATGGAATATAGGTGTTATTGCCCCTGTTTCTTTTACCAAAACCAATTTAACAAGTCTTGCGTTCTTCCGAAGTTCTTGGTTACGGGTGATTGCAACCTACGCTTTCGTATTTTTTCTTCAACTGAAATAAAAAATCCTTTTTGGGTAATTTTGATCCAGTACACTCAGTGAATAAGATCCATGCATTTATGAAAAGCACCTGGAGAGGCCATCGAAAACATACTGCTTTGGTGGTATATTTGCGAAACATTTCGTCTACTACGTTGACTCCTGACTTTGTCTCATTTTAATATGCTATTGTTCTGGGGCATGTTTTTAATTGTGTTTTATTGTTATAAAAGTACGCGTAGTACTTAGTAACAGCAACTTTAGATTTGACTTACATTTATATATAGTGAATATGCATTTTCCTGTTTTGTAATCTTCTGAAGAATACAAATTCATTTAATCTTTCTTGATTTTTGTTTGGCTGTTTGGAAGTTCTCTCTTGTTGGCTCGAATAGTTCCAACTAAACTTCGTCCTTTTTGCAACTAATTTTTCAGCTAGAGGAAAAATTATCCATGGATTTATTTCTGCCCTTTATGAAGATATAATTCGGCTAATTTTAAAACTAGAAATTCGCCCAAGGGTGTTGAAGTTCGCGTTTCATCCTTACCTAAGTAAGGGAACACATTTATAAGACTTAGATTGAACATCTACAGCCAACCAAAACTTCATGCCAAGCTTGTGCGACTTGTTTGGCATAAATTGTGTGAATTTGCAGGTGGCTTTAGTAGGGAACAGTTGCTCGTCTATTGAATCTCCGTAAGGTTTATAAGAGCATTGGCTATTGTGTATAAATCGATTCGCTTTTTTGGGATATCATTGCAAATTTGTCTGTGCGTAAACGTTTAGATTGTTCCGTTTTCTTACCAAATCTGACAAATCGAAGAATTTGCTTGAATTTATCTCTGGGCATTGCATTAGAAAAAAATGCTGGCTCCCATTTCTTGGACCATTTAGCATTCAGCACTTAGCGAATTTGCTTCATACGGTCCCCTAGCAAACACGACGTGCTTCACCTTCAGTGCAACTCTTTATTTTTTTTTGGTTATACTTAAATGGAAATCACATTTCGTTTCACGTAAGCACCAGCCCAGCGATGTTTTTGAAGATTTTGTGGATAGGATATCGACCACTATCTCTGCCCACTTCCAATTTCGTCAAAGTTGTTCCCGAACTATCTCGTAATATTTGTCTTATTCGCCGATTCAGCATCATAGGATATCTCTTTTCACCCTTTTTGTGCGAAAACTTAATTTCTGTTGATTTTGTTTTTCACTGCCTAATGATTCCCCAGCCTGCATACTTTCATCAGATTCCAAGATCTCAATTTCGTCCTCATTCTGAATCACTTGCTTTTCATCCTTTTCAGAGCCGCACTACTTTTCACAAATGTTGACTACGTTTTCAAATAACGGAGAAGTATCGAAGTATTACCGCTACAGTCCTATTTATTATTATTGTTGTAATGTTTGCATGGGTAGAATTAATTTTCTATAAATTTTGTCTACACTACGATCGCGTGAAATAGACGCATATCCGTAGAGAATTTAATGGATAAAAGACAGCGCACAAGATAAAATAAAAATGCAAATGGCTTTTGTAATTTTCCCCATAAATTTCGAAATGCTTCAAAATGACACGTCACGTAAACATAGTGTTAATATTGCTCAGGAAGCGGTGTCTAATGCAAGCCAAGAAAATACTTTCGAAAGCGACAAATTAATGGGGAGTTTTAGGTTAAAGAGTTTTGTAGAGGAATTGGAACCACTACGTAAGAATTTTTTACTACTATGACCATAAAAAAATCCCGAAAAACAAATGTAATTTCGCATTGAGCATCTTTAAACTAACTTTGTTAACATCTATTTTAAGGCATAAAACTCTCTATGAAAAGGACATTATTTCATGTATGACCACCACCAACGATCTTAAACTCTACAATAGTGAAGAGTATGATTTAGTTGCTGAATTTGAATGGCCTAAAATTACTGATGCGATAAAACGCAAGGCGCCATCAAATTGCCATCTAATTAATACGCACAGTACCTTAGACAATAAGATTTTTTCATTAGTCGGGACAAATTTTAATAAGGGGTAAGTATTATTGAATGGGAAAAATATACCCAATAAGTTGAAAATTATTTTCTTGTAGAGAAATTCTACGTTCTGTGCAATTGAAGGACCAAATGATACCGTTGGCTAACTTCAAGGGCAATAAACAAATTATTCGCGACAGCGTTTTTGAAATGAATTCAAATGCATTAATAACCGGAGGGGAAGGCGGCTTTTTAACATTATGGACGCAAGAAGATCGATTAAATGATTCAACGCAAAATTATTCACAAGAATTAAAGCATAAAATTAAAAGGGGTTCTCATAAAACAAATCCATATTAACCATTACAACCGACTTCTAGTAATAACATTAGAATACAATACGCTAATATGAAAATAAATAAAAATGGACATCCACACAAATATGTTTATACAAATAAATATGTAAAAGCTGGAATCTGAACTATTAAAAATTTTGATAATGGAGTTAATTTACTTTCTGCAATGGATTCAATTGTTTCTTATGATAACAAATTCACCGTAGGAAAAAGCGTGTTTTTCGTTTTATTTATTGAAAATAGCTCATCTGAAGAAAAAGTTGATATATGATAACATTGAATAGTAGCATTTATAAGTAAATTTTAAGTTGGCAACATTGAAACTTCGGTCTTTACGAATTCGTAAATTGTTTGTGTTTATGAAAATTTTTATTTAAATTTCCCTGTTTCTCCAAACATAATTCAATTAACCGATTCAAATTAACTGTGAAGTAAGTCATGTCCTTTTTTGCTGGTAATACATCGATGGGAGCGACAAGTACGCCTGCTAAACGTAAGTATAGGGCTAGCAGCTTTTGCTTTAAACATTGCGTTTGTAACATCAAAAATTACAGCTAGTGGATTCTTTTCATCTTTTGGTACATCCGGTGCAGGTACATCGTCAGCATTTGGTGCTCCAGCTGCTTCATCGGGCGCGGGCTTTGGACCACAAACATCGATGGGTTTTGGAATTGCGGCGGCGCCAACGACTACTTTAGGCGGCTTTGGAAATTTTGGCTCAGCTACCACAACAGTTCCCACTTTAGGTGGATTTGGAACTTTTGGTACTAGTACGTCTAATGCTTCAGCTTTTGGTGGATTTGGTAGTGCGGCGGTTACAGCAGCGCCTACATTTGCAGGTTTCGGTACAACAGCAGCAACCAGTACCCCGAGTTTCGGTTTATTTGGCGGAACCGCACCAACGACAACAGCCCAAAATTTTGGAGGCTTTGGAACGCAAAGTTCTGGTTTTGGACCATTCGGAACAGGTAACATTGAATATAAGCTATGTTAAAGAAAGAATAGAAATAATCTTTCCAATTGCCATTATTGACTGAATAGGTTTTAATAAAACTCCAAACTATACAGTAACGCCAGGTTTTGGAGGATTTAGTGGCAACACTGGTTTCATGATGGGGCAACCGCAGCAGCAACCTGCACAGATATCGCCTGACGAAGCTTTCGCTCAGTCTATCTTCAATGTTTCGATTTACGGTGACGAACGCGATACCATTATAGCCAAATGGAATTATTTGCAAGCTATGTGGGGTATAGGCAAATCGTTTTATTCTCAAACTGCTCCACCAGTTGAAATTACTCCTCAAAACTATCTGTGCCGCTTCAAAGCCATGGGATTTATACGATTGCCCGGCAAGGATAATAAAATTGGATTAGTCGCCTTGAATTTTAGTAAACCTCTATCTGAAGTCAAAAGCCAACAGCCACAAATTGTAACGGCTTTAAACTCTATATTTGGTAATAAACCCAATCTAATTGTTAACATTGATTCAAGCAAGGAATACGAAGAAAAAAGATGCCAACTAATTATATATTTAGAAGAGAAAATAGCAATAGCCCCTAATGAAACAAAGCGAATTTTAGCTACAGATTTAGCTAATTATCTAAATCAAGATAACATTCGGCCTCAGTTGAATAATTTAGGTATTATTCAGGTATTAGCTCTGGTCTTGCCGGATGAAGATCAGCTTAAAGAATACTTAGAAAATGCACCAAAAGGCATTGATCCACGTATGTGGCGTCAGGCTAAATTAGATAATCCAGATCCTTCGAAATTTATTCCGGTACCTATGATTGGTTTCAATGAACTTAAACGGCGTATTAAATGTCAAGAAAATGAAACTGAAACTCATGCTTTATACTTGCGTAAAGTGGAGAAGGACATGGCTGAATTAAGGCAACGCCATGCGACGGCTAAAGCCAAAATCCTGGAACATAAACGCAAATTGGCTGAACTTGGTCATACAATTTTAAAGGTCGATTAGATTGTTAAAAACTTCAAGTAATTAATTGATAAACCATTAATTTTTTTTTTAACGCAGATAATCGTTAAACAAGAATGCACACGTAAAGTGGGTTTAGCTCTTACACCCGAAGAAGAAAGGTTACGCACAAAATTGGAAAACATGCAAGCTCTAGTCTCAGCTCCTACTCAATTCAAAGTACTTATGTTATGCTTTATTAATGAATGCATATATACCCCGTTGTGCACACAAGTATAATTAATTTTCCCTTCTATGTGCTCACATCTAATAGGGTCGTATAAGTGAATTGCTATCACAAATGCGTATGCAACGAAATCAATACATGCTGACCGGTGGCAGCGAATATACTATTGACAAAGATAGTGAAGAAGAAATGAAAAGTTTCCTAGGCATGCAACAAAAAGCAATGGAGGTTCTTACAGATACAGTAAACAAGGATTTAAAAGCATTACAAATTATTATCGATGGGATGCCGGAATTAGTACGAGGTTAAAATTCTTAAAATTGTAAATGTACGTGTGTTTGAACTGTTGTTAAATAAATTTATAAATGCTAAGAAAAAACTCGGGGAGAAATTATCACATCGAAAGTTTTTTAACATACTGGTTATGTGAGCAAAACGTAATCGTAATCAGTAGAGTTATACATAATACGCTCAGAGTTTCTAACATCACTAGAGAATCACTCCGTGTGTTGCCTGTGCTCAAATTGGGAACATAAATCTCGTCATATTTCACTTGTGTGCGTCTATTTATTCATGCAAATAACTTTGAACTTGTCTTGTCTTTTTCTGAATAGTAAGAAAACCGGTTTATAAAAATCCAACGGATTTACTTTTTTGCAATCAGTTAAGTAAAAAAATTTATGTTTGCTAAGGCAAATTTTGCGTACTCATTCGCTTTCTCAAACTATTTGAAATTTCAGTTAAACTTAATGTCAGGACAAAATTTCGAAGCGAAGAAAAGGAAAAGAACTAAATTTTCATAGTCTTTATGGTATTGGGCGGCCGCGGTTGACTTTTTTATGGTTGATGTATGCTGCACCTTATAGTAACAAACAAGAAAAACGGAAAACAAAGGTATTCATAGTTTTTACTGCATAGTCATGAACTTTCACCTGTTTGGGTCACTGTCCAATTGTTCTGTAAATTTGGAGGCGATATCTTCATTTTTGCGAGCGAAAGTGTGATGATTACCACCGAGACTACACTATTGGGATGGATAGTCGAGTAAACGAACATAGGTGCATCCCGAATTTCACAACGGGGAAGAATTTGTATACTTTATGTTATACCGATCTTGAAGCTTAAAAATTACATTTTGATACATTATAATTTTGGGCATGTATGGTGTTTTCAGCTTTTTGATACGAGTTTTACAGCATCGTCCACACAATATACATTCAAGCTCTTATAGTTTATGGGTAATGAGTAAAAAAACCATATTTTATTCCTTTTGAAAAGCAGAGTTGTTTACGTGCTACTGTACGTGTTCTTCGAGCATTTTCAACATCAACCTGCGTGTAAGAGCTTCCAATAATTTTGCCAAATTTGAAGTCTCTATCATCGTTTTGCGAAGAATGTTTACAGCAAACATTACATAACAGACGGAAGAACTTATTTAATTCGATTCAAAATTTCATGCTAATCAAAAATATGTACACTTTGTGGCATGATCTCTGAAGTATTATAAACGTTTTGCCAAATTGAATATACCTATCACCACTGGTTGACTTTTCAGTCCCCAGATGCTCAATTACTATGTATAAATTTTATAAATCAAGTTTAAGTTTTCTATCTGAAACAGTGAAATTTCGCGGCAAGGAGGAAGAGAGCACAGATCAATGCCTAGGCATCCTCTTCTGATTAAAAATATATAAATCTTATCAGATCTTAGGGAATGTTACAAACGGTATGACGAAATCGTTCGACGATGGATATTAATATTAGTGTTCAACGTCAACAAACTCTTTTCCTTTTTTTTATCAGCAAACGTATAAAAACGACTTTTTTTTGGATATTTTGTTGGAAAAATTGCACTCATTACACATAAATGGGGGAATTACGAAAAACAAGTTGTCTCCCAAAAACCAGTTAATGCTATAATTGTTGGTTTATTAACATTGTTTAAACCAACAACAACGAAATGTTGAAGTTATATTAATTATATTAAATTATATGTAGCGTAAATGTTAAAGGAGAGAAATTTGCTTCTTTTTGCTAGCTAAACAGGGGAGAGGCATTTAAGGAAACGCATTCATCATTATTTTCAAATCTTTGATTTTCTAGTAACATTACTCTAACAATTTTAATGTTCACTGTTGTTACCTTTTTTGAACTTGCCGTTATTTCTTTTTTAAAAGAGTAGAGTGTAGATTGTTAAGCTTTCAATATTCGATCAAATCCAATGGGAAATTTTATCCTTGTTATTACTGATACATATTTACAATGGTGCACAATTTCCCACATTAGCATTAGTTGAAAGTAAAATCGTTTTGGATAAGAGTTCGTAACTAGTTTTTACATTTGTACTTCCCAGTTATGCGAGTTAAATCTGATGAGATTCAGTTTGAGTAGATTTTGTAGCTTCCGTTTAACATTGTCTTAGTTTCTTGTATAAATGCAGCAGTACACCAGATAGCGGCTTGCACAAGTTATTTATATCTACGATAAAAGTGAACCAATCCCAAACATTTGTAAATCGCAATGATTCCAATAGTAATAGTGAGTGATAATCATTAATTTAAAAAAATTAAAAACAAGACATTATTTCTAAAAGATGTAAAATTTTTCAAAAAAGAAAAGCCACTTAAGCGAGTAAAGCAATAACAAAGAGAAAAAAGAAGAAAACATAGTAGTAGCCTTAGAATGAACTTTAGACATTCGCCATTTATATTTAAGATTATATTAGATAAATTCAGTTTACCATTTTCTTGTTTTTCTTGTTCTGTTATTCAACAAATGAACTACGGAAAACTCGCTGGGATGTGCAATTTGAAAGGAGAGTAAGTTAGCGCCTCTCGACACGCGTTTGGCACGTGTTATATGCTTTTTTTCTAATAATGATTGCTATGTGAGTGAAAAAATTTCAAATACTTTCACAGAATGTCAACACAGTTGCATGTACGTTCCACTAAAGAGAATCGTCTTCTGGAAATATAGTGAAAACTCGACGGGACGGCCTGCCTTTAAGTATCCCAGATCACTTTACAATTATTCATATTAGGACTTTTCAAAATGAGACGTTATATGGAAAGTCCGAAAGATCCGAACCTTTTTAAATAGCATTCGTCCTTCCGCCAAAAGATGTCAATATATTAAATTTGATTGAAATATTATAAAAATTATGACCGGGAAGTGGAACACAAAAAAGCAAGACAGATAGACAGACAGACAAGCTTAGATCGATTGAGATCCGTAACACGTCGGTGTATCAAAAGTCATGAGAATATCTCATAAATTGCGATCTGTAGGTCGAACACAAGGCAATAAGACAAACAGTTAGACGGACGAACAAGCTTAGGTACAGTAAAAGACAGGTCCATAAAAATTTATATAAACTTTTTTTCATACCTATGCTACGAAAGCATACTAAGCATAGTTTGCGCCGATATATGCATTATCTAGAAGGAATTGTGATAAATCCAATTTCTATTATACCGGTCGATTCAGAGTTACTTTCTGGATCATACTCTGGATTGATCTGAGCTTGTCTATCCCTCCGTCTGAATTGTTTTCTTCTGTTAAATCTACGGATAGCCATGTTTTGAAATATTTTGGTGAAAATTGGTCCAGTGATGCATTTTGGATCTAAGTCGACCTAAGCTTCTCTCTCTGTCTTCTTTTCTTGCGTTCAACCTACATGTCGCCAAGTTTGAAGGTATTTTAATGGAATTGGTAAACTGGCGTGTTTTGGCTCAAAGACGAATCCTATTGGAAATGGTTCGGATCCCTTATAAAGCCGTACTTTGAAAATTCGTTATATAAATTGCGATGGAGTGGTGTAGAGTATCTAAAAGTGGGTCGTGGCTTGTTTTGCAGGCATGAAATTGTGTCAGACTGTTTCTTTAAAATCAAAGACCCACAATTGTTTTTTCTTAATTACGAGAACAGAAGATGTCATCAACTTTAGTTTAATATTACAGAACGTGCATTATAGCAAATAAATTCCCTTTGCAAGAAATCACCAACAGTACGGTATTCATCTTTATGCTTTTTTTATGTTTTCCATCTTTTGATTAAGCGGATATATCATTGAATCGCTTTATTAAAATATAACTTTTTATTTTTTACTTCAAGCTTTCAATATGCCTAGTAAATGTGGCGTCTTCTCTAACTCTCAACAATAATGCAACCTTCTCGGCTGAAAGACTTTTGCAAAACGATCAGAGCGTTAACCTTGATATTATACATCCACAATTAATAAGCATTGAACATTTGCAGGCGTTGCTGCAACGAGCCACTCAACTATTTCAACCGGTACGCGTTCAACAAACGGAATCCTTAGCCAATTCTGACCAACAAATTAACGTACCACCGCAATATATGCAACCGCCTTCTAGCAATCCATATAATTTTTATATGCCACTCTATGAACACGACGGGGAGGATAAGATACTAAATAATAAACTTGATGAACGCAGTCGCAAGTTGCAAAAACTCATACCACCGTCAGCGGCAATTATAATTCAACAGGATTTTCTTAAATCCAATTATGCTACAAAAGCAAAAAAGTCACCAAAAAAATTTGATTCTCATCTTAAGCATATCAATGTTAAATGGTTAAATAGCTACGAAAAGCAATTTTCTTCTCCAGATAATAAGAAGGCAATGACGGTACCAAAAGCTGTGTATCTGATTAATGACGAACGTAATCGAATCAATTTCGATGATTCGTTTTTCAGTGCTAATATGACAGTAAAAGAAACCGATAATAAAATGAAAAAAGCGAAATCGGATCAACTAAATCAAAGTCATCAGCTTGAAGAGGACTCGTTCGTGGCATCAAAATTTCAATTACCTGTAATTAAAAGAAACGATAAAACAATAATAGCTAGACGAACATAAAGCGATGTAGGGTATTTTCTCTTCTTCTTATAGAATTATGTCGAAGGCAACTTAGTAGTAGACTTTTAAATGATTGTCAATTTATTGAACACTTGACTGTAAATAAAAATATATGTACTTTCATAACTTTCACTTGACATCGGCGATGTTAATTGAACTGAATTCCGTAAAAGTTATTATTTAAAGAATACGCACAATTTTATCGATGTCATCCAAAGGTCCCGATGTGCCGAAGAGAAATAATGATGGTTGGAACCATTCTACGCGTAAGGTTGCATTGACCAGAATTCTTCGTGAAATACCAACGCGAACTGTACGTACCCCCCAGCCAGTTTTGATCGTATTATTTGATTGGTTTTTCGCTTAATACCCTTATTTATACCCCCAAATCGTCACTAAGGTTACCTGTAGGGTAGCATTAACGCTCTCCTTACCCATAGAAGTATACCTGGAATAACTTGAATTACTACTTGTATTCTTGTATTCTAGTAGTCTTTGCACTTGATCTTAGGTAAAAGTTATATTTTCCGTCGAACCGAGTCATCTATAGTTTTCATATTTCTCACAGCATTTAGCATACTTCCTCTAAAAGACCCTGCCACTGTTAACGATTGACGATTGGTAACATTATCTATTTCTCTGGCTCCGCAGTTAATGGCGTAAGTAATTTCTTCTAAACGAGTTTTTAAACCAAACTGATTTCCCCACCGTAGATACAGCTGCGATGGAAATGTCATAAATTCATTTTAATTGCTCAAATGTTTCATAAGCATCTTTCACACGAGCTGGCTGAACGTAAACGGCTTGCGTATGAAATGTTGTATCGAGTATAGTTTTCAGCAAAGGCAAAGGGAAAGGAAAGGGTAAGCAGCGCGATGACATAAACGCTATACACTAATGTAATTATGGTGACGATATTCGGATTAGTCCTGACAATGAAGTCAAAACGGTTACGATTTTTAGAGCCCAAACAATTTCATGGCTTTCTATTACTCCAACTTTTGTTACGATTTCTCTTGAAATATCCTCGACTTGCCGGAGTGAAACAGTGATTTGCAGCAAACTATTATCTGATAACAAATTAAAAATCAATGTTAAAATTGAAACCGATATTAAAATTAAATAATTTAATTATATAATTTTTACGTTACCAAAGGACAGAATACTGTTGACTCTCGTTCGCTACGCATTTGCTCAATGAAAAAAATGCTGCTTTTGAATATGAATTATTTTATTTTTATTTATTTTTTTGGTTGTAATCTTCAGATCATATCAGAAATAGTAACTGACAGAAGCGTAAACAAATAATTCAAAAAAACTACGCAATGACAACAAGACATACTATTCCGAAATGTTATGCTACGTGTTTTGTTGTCGCAAAGTCTTACATAAAGTACGAGAGGACTTGATTCAAAAAATAATTCGACATTCCTTTGGCATCAACAATAGAAATAACACGAAATTTGACTTTCGGCAAACGGCAGCTGGATAACCTTTTTTTCTCGTGTTTTATCGGTGTTAATGGAAACAATAAATAAAAAAAGAGAATTTAAAGAAGGAAATGAAAAAAATAAATAAAAAATAAAGGTTTAAAGAAGAAACGAAACTTTTGGAAATTTAAAAAAAATATATATATATGTACATATATATTAATTTTTTTTCGTTTTTAGTCCGGATTGGTAAGTGTTCCCCGGGATAAGTGCTACAACAGCATCAGCAGGTCTCCTATGGAGACCTGAGATCTGAATTAATTGTCACGGATAGAGACGATTTCAACGATTTCTATACGAATGACCATAACAAGAGATCGAGGATGGCTAGGGACGATGTTAGTCTATTTCTCAAAAGAGGAGTTATAGCCAACGATTTGACAGTGCTCAGAAACCAGGTATTTAATAAGCCTTCTAATTTGGGTGCCAAAGAGATTGCAAAGCGTGATATAAATTTGTGTGGCTATCTTTCACAAGGCAGTCTTGTAGTTTTTGTTGAAACTGGTGAAAATGCCGAGGGAAAACGTGTGAACTTCAGCTCGGACTTTTTTGTTATGATTATTTAAAAACTTTCAGCATCGACGGCTTACTAGAATTAAAAGTAGTTAGCAGGGGCAGAGCTGAATTGCTCGAAAAAGAGATCATCAAAAAGCGGTCTCCGAAATTTTTGTCAATTCTGCTGATAGGAAGATATCCTAACAACAAAAATGAGTTCATCCCAATCACTAGCATGAAAATAAGTTTTAAGGGGATAGCCTTCCCCAAAGTAATTAAATTAAATTTTTGTAATTTGCCCGTGGAGTACTTTGTATCCACTTTAAAGCAATGCTTTAAGTGCGGGAGGTATGGGCATATGTCCAAGTTCTGCAAAGGGAAGGAGGAAATATGCTTAAACTGCGGGAAGTCTCGCAAGTGTGAAAAGTGTGCAACAATGATATGCTTGTCCTGTGGTTCAGGTGAGCACAATACTCTAAAAGACTGCTGCCCGAACGGGGAGCTGGAATTAAATATCAACAAGATCATTGCCATTAAAAATCCCTCCTAAAAAGAAGTGAAAGAGAAGTTTCCTTCAAACTATTTTGAATGTTTGGATGACAACTCCTACGAGGAAAATTTCCTTCCATTGGCGAACTTGCGAGTAAATCCGCTGTGGTTCCTTTTTAGTTTAAAATATGACTTCGCTTTTACAATATAATATTCAAAGTGTTGACATAATTTATCATTTTTCTTATGGTCAGTCTGCCTAAATGCCGAAATACGGGCAATTCGCAACCACCTCTTTCAACAACTAAGTGATGAATTTAAGAAGATTGCCTGTGTTAAAGCCTTGTCTATAAAATAAATCCCACATTTCAATTCAAACCCTGGGAAATCTAAATCCTTTATAGACTCATGAATGGTCACACAAATGATAAAGTATATTTAGAAATAATTCATGCTATGCCATGTGACATTTGTAAAGTTGTCGAGTCTGCTGGGCATCTAATTTTTAGACGTCACAGGCTTCATGGTATTAGAGATTCTTTTAGCTTCTTCAAGTTATATGATGCTCTCCTCGATCTCTTTATAGTAAAGAAGGTAAGTCATCACAAGGAACTAACGTGATTTACTGGAAAAGGGGATTTATCGTTTTAAATTATTTTTTGCGTTCAATCATTTTTTATTGCTATAACATTCCTTTTTTGTTTTGCACATTTTTTTTCTTTTTTTCACATGACTTCGAAGAACTCAACAATCGACAATTACATACAGAAACTATTACTCTTAATATATCGGCATTAGCTACTAGCCGCTTTTTTTTAATTGTGGTATATAATTCCTACCAATAATTACGATTGTTTATTATCTGTACATACAAACCACAAATTTATTGGCTTAGTCTATCTCCCCACCTACACTCAACTCAAAAAAAAAAAAAAATTCGAACCGCGAAATGATGAATTCTTATTACGAAACTTCATAAAACGCCACGTTCAAGAGTGACCTAAGAAAACCCAACTATTGCAATAAATGAAAAAATCATCAAACGTTCCGTAGCTTCTTGCGACCTCAACAAGAAGTAATAAAAGCTATATTTTTATTCAAAATATATCATGTACTTTATTTTAGTGGCTAGGGCTCCCAGAGCGCTGAGTATGTTTCTCAAAGCAGCTTTGGAAAGGGACACATTTTTGATTTCTATCCTCGATTTTTAACTGGCAGGTATTACTTAAGAAAGAGTTCCAATTCTGGTATCTGCGCAATGAGGGAGGTTAGCACTTTCCCTTGCCATCTCGATTTTAACTCCTACAGATTCCACATTTGCGTAAAATATTTGGTCTAAAGCTAAAATCTTTGTGATCTTTTACAATGATGATTGACATCTGTTTCATTAAAAAATGATCTTAAGAATGTGATTTGGGATTATTATATTTTCTAAAGCGTTATATTATTCATTACACAAAAGTCACTAAAGGAATATCCATTTTAGCTTAAATTACATTTTAAAGTTTTAGTTTGAAATATTAATGTCTACTACCATCTCCTATGTCCTCCACCTCCACCACCTCCTCCACCACCACCACGACCACCCCGGCCAGATTTGTTATTTCCGCCACCACCACCGCGGCCACCTCTAGAAAAACCGCGTCCCCCACCACCGCCACCGCCACCCCTACCGCGCCCACCAAAGCCACCACGCCCGCCATTCTGATTTTTAACTCCTCCTGGAGGACCTTTTTTTTTCGGACCTTTGGGTTGCGGAGCTTTAGGCAAAAATCTAGCTATTGGCAATAATTTTGTTGGTTCAATGAACAGCTGTTGATTGCTTTTAAAACTGCTGGCTTTCATATTATCCGATAATTTCACAGATACAGAATAATCTCTGATGGTACCGAAGATTTCATCAATTTTACCAATAGCTTCTTTGTTTTCTAGGTAAATGGGTGCACTGAAGTAAGGCACATCTTGAATATCAACTTTAACAACGAGATCATCTTGACAACTGTAACTGAAATGGCCTAAGGGCACGATGCGTTCTGGCGGTCCTTGTTGAAAATTATTGTCACGGAAACCTCGGCCGCCTCCACCTCCACGATTAGAGCGAAAGGCCCCGCCTCCACCGCCACCACGTCCACCACCACGTCCGCCACCACCACGTCTTTGACCACCACCACCTCCTCGACCAAATCCCATATCGATTTTTCTATGCTTTACAGAGATATCTGATTAACCGAATTAATCCAAAAATTCAGACCACGCGGCGAGAATATTTTTATGTTTTTATGTGAAATGCTTTGAAAACATGGTTACCACATTTTAAAAAAATTGAAGTTATATGGAAATACAAAAATGGGATTATGTCGCAGATGTTATCAAATCAAAAAGTAGCCAATAAATGAGTCTTATGCGTCGAAAAGTAGAAGCAAGACAACCGATCAAACATACAGTTTCAACGGTAAAAATAAAAATATATCTAAACAAAGAATTTATGAAAGTAACTTTAAGGCCCTAATTGACTTGGCAAATATAAATGTTTTTATCCTCAGGCCTGGAAAAGAAATTGCATGTATACAAATATAGATAATTATAAATACTTTACACTTTTTTTTTAGAAAGTAGACGCGTGTATTAGAAATTCGTGTAAGAAAACTTGTGTAAAAAAATACATGGGACATGTGATAAATTTGCGACATGTTCTACAACCTTAAAAAATCATGTAAGATGAAAACACTCTGTATATTTTTTCAAAAAATCGTGCAAAAAAGGTAATGTAATCCGCATACATAGTTATAAAGCGAAACCAGTTTATTTTTATTACAAAAACAAATTAAAAATAGTGTGCAGTGAAAATTCAGTCCATAAATTCATACAATATATAAAAATTATCCAAGCCAATGATTCGGGTTGTTTCTTTGGTAGATGCTCAAAATCTTTCACTGGCGATCTGAACCAAAAGACTTCTAAAAGATCCTACCCTCCTAAACCTTGATAGAACACCGCATGCAATCGAGTTTTGCCAAACTTCGACTCGCTGTAAATAAGTGCAAAAAATTTCCTTCTAGAATAAATTTCAAATTTTTGGGCAACTGTACTTTGTTATATAAACTCTTCGTCTATAAAAACATGTTAATGAATAATGATGAGTCAGGGATCTGTATTGAGTCATCTTTGCTTTAATTCACATATAAACTGCAGTATTGTCGATTTGTCGCACTCTACCGTTATTTACAAGTTATTGCTAAGTTTACATTTTATTACATTTCAAATGTGACACCTAACCTAGTTAAGATAGCCTAATTTAATTGTAACCCATATTACTCGTAATTCTAGCAATAACCTATTTTAATTATATTATTCGCTTAAGTTAGCATTAAATTATTAGTTATATAAGACACCTGACCATACCTCAGTCAGGTCAGAATATAAGCAAGTATTTAAAAGAAAAGTAACAAATAAAGACTTTAAAATAATCCACTAAATAAAAGAACATTTAATTTTGAGTGGTGTCACTACAAAACATAATTTTCAGTTCCCTTCCTTAGAACATCTCAATCTGAGCTATGCTGACGATCTTGTCAATTTTAGATTCAACTTTGATCCAAATTTGTGTAGGCGCAATATGCAATCTGCCCTCGACATTATTTCCTTTCCTCTTGAATCGCATCAACTCACAATTTTAGTCAATAAGTCCAAATACTTGGTCTTTTCAAAAAAAAAAGGAGAGACATCACTGTTACTCCCCTGCTCATCCACGGTTCTTCTATTCCGTTTCTTAAAACTTTCGGCTTTTGAGGCTTTGTTCGACACTCGAAACTTTCCCTAGCAGCTCACGTTAATAAAACTGCCAAACAATGTTTTCAGCTCGAGGTATTGAAATCCATTTGTGACAACTCTTGGGAATCTGACCCTTCTTGCATGATTAAACTGTATCTTGGCTTAATGAAACCGAATTAGAACACGTCTTTTCACTCTTATTGGACATCTCAAATAAGGACGTTCTGAAATTATGCAGAATTATGCAATGAAAATCCAGTGGAAATCCTTTCGCCTGGCTCTTGATGGCATGAATTCTACGCACACACTAAGCTTACAACAGATAGCAAATGTTATGCCTCTACAAGAAAGATTTCGATTACTCTCCAATTTTTCATCTAAAAAAATTCTACGTTTTGAGAATAATTCGACCTTACGTTTCATTTACAAGTTTATATCACTCGATTCCTCTCCTTCCTTCTCTAAAACTGTTACTGACAAAATTAGTAACTTCAACATTTTAAGAACTGATTTACATGGCTTATTCAAAATTCCTCTTGGCTCTCAATATTTTTGACCTGTACTTAAATTCTTACCAGCGAGAAAATTTACAGCTACTCCGACAGAGGTACACCACCGCTACTCGAACTTGGTCGATACCAAATGGAAACATTTTTGAGTTATCTTTACTGATGGATCTAAGACCGATGTTATAGGCTTTTGGTTTCCAAATATTAATAGAGAAGCTTACTTCTCAAATCACCCATGTAGCACTAGATTTTCGGGTGAATGTTTTGCAATTCTAGAAGCCATCCGCTGAGCGAGTACTCAGCCTCAAAAGAAATTCATTATAGTGTCAGACAGTAAATCTATCTTATCCGCTTTACAATGATATCACTCAGCTAAAACACACCCCTACATATCAGAAATCAGATCTTTACGTTATAACCTCAAATCTGATAAATTTTATTTTCACTTTCTCTGGATGCCCAATCACAAGGACATTGTTGACATTGCGGTCACGTCACATTATTTGTCTTACTAACAGGCTGATGTTCAATCACACGATATGTAATGATCACCTATTCAAAATTAACATAGTAAACAATTACTTATGCACATGTGGGGGTTTTACAATCTCCTGAGTATATCCTATTTGTCTCTCTGGATGGTACTACTTCTATTCACTATTCCACACTTCGCAGATTTTGTACACGTGGTCTTCATGATTGCAGCATTCTTGATATTTTGCGTTCTCGCAATATAACAGCTTAAATCGCTTATACCTCATTTTGACGGCCTATGATGAGCCTACTCTCTTTTACACTTTTTTGCTCGCAACACCCATCAATTCCATCGTATAGATTTTTATACTCATATACCACATTACTTCCTGTCGGAATTTACTCCTCGCTGTTCTGTTTCATCCTACGTGGCGGACGAATAATATGCGTATTTTAATAGAAACTATAAAAACAATATAACGTGGCGGACGCAAAACACGCAAAATTAATTAAAAAAAAACTTTAATCAAATAATCACTAAAATAAAAAATAATAATATTATATTCCAAATCAACTTTACTAACCCCTAAACAAAGAACTCTGTGTTCACATTGGGACTTTTTTAGACACCTCAGTGAATTTTCGGCTATTAATTTGCTGAACAACAAAAAAAGAAGAAGAAATCGCTTGTTGTTTACAATAGCATACGTTAACAATTGCCATACCACCATAACTTGATATCCATCTTCTGGATAGAACTCCACGCATAACTTTTTTCTCTATAATTTTTATTGCCATTATCAACCTGAAGCTCTTAAGAATATTTTGAGTTAAAAACTCATAATGTTGCTTTATATATAGGCGGAAATGGACTCTAAATGGCTGAATTTTCTACTAAGCCAACTGAGGCTTGTGAATTACGAAAATGAATACGAAACTATGCGTTTATTGTTCGATAAGCCGCTTTCATGTAAATTGGTTTGCAAATCGGCCCAAGATTTGTTAGAATCGTTAAAACGGAACGAAAATTATGAATTTTTGTTGAAAGATAAGCAAACTAGGGTAAGAGAAGCAGCAAATCTCAGAAAAGAAGGTAATGATTGTATGGCAGAGAAAGAAAAACCGAATAAAGTGTTAGAGGCATGTCGTCTTTATACGGATGCAATTTTCACAGCAATTGGCGTGGATAACATGGAATTATCACTGGGATATGCAAATCGAGCTTTGGCACTTCAATGTTTTGGTTACTATCAGCAGGCGTATGACGATTGTGAGTGCGCTTTAGAAATTGGCTATCCGAAAAAGCTGTATCCTAAAATTATTTGTCGTCAAGCATACTGTGCTCTTCAACTGAATAACGCGGAGCTTTTAACAAAACATCTTAGCAGTTTGGAAAGTATGCATTTAAATGAAAATTTTCGACGGCAAGAGCAAGAACTAAGGGCCAATTTATGGAAATTACAAAATCAAACTGAAAAGACGAACGGAAATGTTGAATTGATATTGAAGAATCGAGATTCTCAGGAAATGTAAGTGTAAGCATGTTTCTTTATATGAATGCATACATGAAATATATTAACGTAATACTTGCAGTGTTAATACATTTAGTGAAATTGGACGGTATATGAGAGCTAAACGACTTATTAAACAAAATGAACTTATTTTTTCGGAGCGAGCAACAGCTCTTGCTCCCATAGGTTCTGCCATTCAACTTTGTAATCACTGCGCAAAAACTAGTTTTATACCAATACCTTGTCAGCATTGCCGTGGCCGTGTTGTATATTGCTCTCTCGCTTGCTTGAAAGCCCATAAAAATATTCATTTGCACGAATGTTCGGCGTATCAGATGCAACTATTCGCTCATGTAGGCATTGCCCATTTAGCTTTACGGATAATTCTTGACAATGGACTACTAACAATTCTGGATTTATTAAGGAATAAACAAACGACGAAAGCAATCTGGACTTCGCTAACGGAAGGTGGCGATGTTTGGAGTAATCCTACAGCTGCATACAGTGAATCCTTACGTATGGTTAGTCATCTAAAAAAAATGGCCCTTGAAGACGTTAAAGTATTCGCTGCAGTATCGCATCTCATTGTCGTTTATTTAAGCAGATATACAAGCTTTTTCGATTTGCTATCGAGCAACCATCGCTTTAATTGCAATTGGGAATTAATTGTGGCTGCATTAATTCTTAAACACATTGGTCAATCGATTGTCAACGGCCATGTTTGCACAGTTATTAGGCCAAAGATTTTTGAAAATTACTCTCTAACCGAATACCATCTTTTAAATGAGGATCTATGGGAAAAGCCGTGGCATTTAAGACGAGGTTATCTACATCGATTTGCATATATTGATGATGTGGCCACTTTAAATTTACCCTATACAAGCATTTGCAATCATTCATGCCTTCCGTTATTTCAGCCAAAATTTTCAGGCCGTATTATAAGTGCATATGCCATGCGCGATATTAAAGAATCTGAAGAAATTACCAATTGCTATACGCAACATAGTCGTGTCGAAAGACGTCAAACAAGACAAGAAATTCTAAAGAAATCTTACCATTTCATTTGTAAATGCGGAGAATGCATGCGCCAAGAAGGAGACGATGATGTAGTAAGTATGAAATGTGTAGCGAAAATTTTTTTATTTATACATATATATATCATATATATATATATATATCATATATATATATATATATCATATATATATATATATATCATATATATATATATATATATCATATATATATATATAAATTGCGTTTTTCTTAGAATCAATTTCATCAATATCGCTGTGATAATGAGAAATGTCGTCATGTATTTGTTCCGCAAACACCGTTGAAATGGTGGCAGAGGAAAACTTCAAACGATTTACAAAATATAAATGTGTTATGCGCGGTTTGCGGTTCGCGCCAAATGTTTAAATGGTTCTACGACTACCAAAAGTTGCTTACATCTCTTAATTCTCCATTGACACGGCTACGTTTATATCAATTATATCAAAATTTAGATGAATATCTGCTTGCCTTCAACAGCTGTAAAGCTTTTATGGCGTCGAAAGCGGTCCAAGAAATTTTTAAATTTCTTAACGGTAAGTAAATATTAATTTAAATCGTATATGAACAATACGGATGGAGAGTAGAGTATATCTGGTAAAATACGTCCACTTCCCTTTCGGAACTGCATGCGCTTGTCGGCATCTATGTACACCTCGTTTGTCACTGGGAATTTCTCAAAAGGTCAGTGGTTCAAAGCTTATGATGACGACATATTTTTGACCTTCGTAATCTTTTGTAGCAATTCGTCCCGTAAGGAAAAAAACTTTTTGTACTTAAGTGCGCGTAATATTAGTTGCTAGCTATTCGCTCTTTTCTTATTTTGCACGATTTGTATGCAAAAGGTTAAATTCAAAAAACCCACACCTGGCTTGAATCTGAAAGCCAATTCTAAACCGTCATTAGTCAACTAAAGCTTGCATTCACTGTGTGGCACATTTTGAACACAGATATCGACAATCGTAAACTTTTCTTTTTATATAGTATCACTGTCCAAAAAACCCTTAGAAATTCTTATTGCGATAAAAATAAGCTTTATGTTAGATCTATCACAAATCGTAAGTTATTCTAATCAGCTTTCGAACTTTCGCCTTCTAGCTCTTTGTAGTTTCTCCCAAAAGCTAGAAGAGTAGTAGGTATTCACCATAATCATTTTACCAACTAAATGTATACTTGCCAAATTTTAATGGTTCCAAGGATAAGAAAACGCATAAACAGACACAGACTCCTATGCTAATTAAGAAGGCCTATGTTTAGTAACCATCTTTTTAGTTAATAGGGGCGCGTAAAAGTAGATTCCTCCCAAATCTATTTATTTCAAATTCCGGTTTTGGTAAAACACGAGGCAGTTGCTTTACGTTTCAGATAAAACACGAAGCGCAAAACGGTATAATGACTTTTTTTTAGTATTTTTGTACATTCTCTATGTGTTCAATGAGTTTCTCGTGATATTATTCCTGAATAACAAAAACAAAAATTGCTTCCGGTCTAGTTTGACAACGCATGCCGATCATCCAATGATAGTCAAAGATTACTAATTACAATCAATTTGGTTTTTCCAGATGGATCTTTAAATGAAGAAGACTACAAAAACCTTACCCGAATGATCAAATATTCATTGGAATACGAAACTTATACATCAGGTTCGAGTTGCATTTCTTACATCTGCGAAATGACTTATCTGTGGGACATTATCGCTTTGGGAAAATGGAAATACGAGCACAAGGATATGAATTCAATCTTCAATGAAAGTCTCATCGTACTTGGGGACGAAATGTTTCTTATATTTTCGAATTATTACAAAGACTTCTTAGTAAAATCTTAAACCAAGAACTTTAGAAAAAGCCATTTCACTGAATTTGTTTAAAATTTATTAATAGCATCAATTATAAAAATAACATCTTTGGCTAGTGGAGTCGCGTTACATTCACTTTCTAGATAATTGACGCACTCATCTAACTACTTGCGGTGCTCACTGCAATTGTTTGTGTTGATAATGCTGTGATGGACGACGAACTGTGTCAGTTCTACGCAGAGATCGCAAGTCTACTACGCATCTTTAAGGTCGCTCTCCGCAAACTCTTTTCCGTTTATATCTACTTGAAGCGCTGGGGGTGGGGGCGAGGGGTCTTGGCGCTGAAGCACTGACGGGCTGATAGTGGATCAGATAGATGGGCATAGATGTTGATTGATTTGACTACATTGCCTAGTGACGATACTAGGGCTAATATACAGCGCTTATATCATCGCGCAGCTAACAAACGTCTTTAAAGCAGTATGAACATCAACATTTACATTTTCCGGAAATCTTTCATTTTGATATTTTCTTATATCGTATATGAATTTGCGTTGTATGATTAAGTGGACGTTTGGCGTAATCGTGTGAGAAAAAAAGTTAGGAGACTGGGAAATAGCTTACATTGAATTTAGCAAGGGCGAAAACAGTGGCAATACTCGTCTCAGTGGAGAAGGTATAGCAGAACAATTTTTGGGAAAACTTGAAAACAAAAGGGTTAGAAAGTAATGCAATTACTAGATAAAAGTCTGAAAACGCAAAGTAATATGTAACATAATTAAAGCTAAGTGCATTTAATCTATAAACACAAAAGAAAAAGGATACACCGATAATTCATTGAGATTACAATATCCAATTAAAACTTTTATTATTCGTTGCTTTTAATAAAATGAATTTTTTTGTTGAAATAGTTTCGTATATGTTTTATATCTTTTATATTTATACATTTAAAATGTGTGTGAGTAAATATATCAACACTTATACAAAACTATATGAATTTGTCGGTTGTTCAATACTACTTGTTAATTAATTTTTAAAAATGTTCTTTGTGAAATATTTTCGGCTGTTTTATATACTTTAGATATGTATATGTTGTACGATTACAGGAGGAAATGTGGGTTTCAGTATGTGAAAATACTTTGCTAGGCGTATTTTTTTTTTTTTCTTAAATTAAATTATAGTATTTAAAGCTACTACATAAAACAGATAACATTATATTTGAACTTATATTGTTTTTCATTCGATCTCATTTTCAGTATAATACTGATTTACATTGAAATTATTCGAAAAAATAATTTTTTTTTTGGTTAAAATATAAACTAAACATTTTAAGAAAAAATCGAAGAATTATTTTAACTATTTCAAATAACTTTAGACAACCCTAGACAATAAAGCTAATTTTTAAGGCACAAACGTTGCTTGTTCATTATCCCTTTTAATGGGGTTCTGTTAAATGTGATTTTCGTCATTTCGTAATCATAAATAAATATTTATTTTCCTTTTAGAAAACAAAAAATCTCGATTACGAACAAATAAAACATTCAGATGTGATCTAACAAAAGCTGTAACATTTCCGGCATATTGTTTGCTACACAATAGTGCAGTAAACATGTTTGGGCATTGTTGTTTGTTTCGTTGACGTGTATCCGTTCACTTTGAAATTATTAGTAACTATAACTGCTCATATTTACGCATATTATAATATAATATTTCAAATAAAAATATTTAAAAAAATATATTTTTCAATTCATTGTTTACAACGCTAACACCATTTTTACAGGCAAATCACGCTCTTTGCATCAAATTTTTAATGTTTCATGTATTGTTTTCCTTTCGAAATTGTGAAGGTTTTTTTGGCCTACTGCCGGTTCCGCAGTAACCTTTTCGCGAGAAAAAGTCAAACTGCGCCGCCACAGTTGACTGTATGCGTTTGCCGATCTCGCTGTCCGCCATATGTTGCAACATGCATGTATAAAACATTTTATATGCTTGGTGGAATGCTTTGTGTACCTTCGCTTTCGGGAACGCCGGTTACAAGTATTCTGAGGAGAGGATCCAGTTGTCCTTTCGCTCCTTGATGACAACTCAAATTTAAAAGTGATATAGTAAGTAAGTAAGTTTTTCGAATGACATTTGCTTAACTCTTGCATAAATTCTGAATAAAGTTTACTAAAATCCTTCCTCTACCGTTTAAGACATGCATTCTTCTTTTGTTTTGCCTACTTTCAAAAACGTCCTTACGGAAATTAACTGAAAGCATTAAGCGAAATTCAAACTTGCTCCTTCAATTACTGTTCTTACCTCAGCTTTGGTACAATATGAGAAATATGCAAAAAAGTTGACAAAAGCTTGCATCCAATTAACACCGATTACTAGTTATTAGATTATTAGTTGTGTAACATTATACTTGAAAAAGCCCATAAAACATATGAGCCCTACAGAACGAACTTTTTATCTGATTCGGGACAAGTACTTGTCAGTCAAAACAAAGTATGACAGTTTCGGACAAAAATGAGTTTCCGAGTAAAACTTATTCCATTAAATAAACATGCCTTCAACAACCAACAAAAAAGGAGCAATTCGAAAAAAGGTTTATGTCAATAATTTATAAGTGTTACTGTTTAAAGGTCGGATTATTTTCTATATATTAGAGGTCGTTGATAGTGCAAACAAATACTTTAAAGGTATAACAAAATGGTAACAACCACCTTTATTTTATTATAGTATTGTAGCAAAGACATATAGGAAATTACAATCACTTTAATGAATTTGAAATCAAAACTGGTACAATTGTACCTAAGCCTGAAGAAACATTGAACATAATTGTTCTGGTAGTTATTAAATCTACAATTTCGCGAACAACACAACTAAAAAAGCGCGGTAGTGTTAAGTTAGACTATCCCATAGCCGTGCGCTAGTCAAAACCAACAAACAAAGATAAACAGCAGGTTGGCGCTGTCGTGGAAGAAACTGAGCAAAAAGCGATAACAACTATAGCAAAGCTCATGCAATCTGAAGAAGTTTCATTTAGTGCGGCTGTATAAAAGCTATGACAATTCCATATTAACGTGTGGTCCGATCTGTGGGTAGTTATTACGCTGAAAAAAGTTAAGGTTACAAATGTCCTTAAGAAAGCCGGTATGCACTGGCGAATATAATTATCGCATCTTACCGTTACCTGTGTGGCAAGCTTTTTGACAAAGTACCATATAGCCAGAAAGCTTTATTTAGAACTGTAGTAAAGTGTTTCGGATGCTTTCAGCTTAAATACCGATAACCTGTCAGCTTTGAGAGTAGAAATCCGGGTCTGAGGATGAAATTTTATGTTTTTTACATCAGGAACTAGGACAACAACGCGAGAAAGCAAGCGGTAATATTATAATGTCTGATTATAATTAAATTAAAAGTAAACTTAATTAAAATATACCAACTGAGATAATTGTTTTCGATTTTCTATACTGTCGAATAAAATGAGGCAACCATTTATTAAGCATAGGTTTGTTTATTCAATTTTCTTTATAGTGCGATCGTCGCATTCCGCAATATCTCAGCAGGCTCCGCATTCCGAAGGCGAGGGAAGGTTGGTATTCTTCGGCGTTCGAAGCGCTGCCGTCTATGTAATCGCACCCAAGCAGGCGGTCTACCGAACGGGTATACGTTGCCTGCTTATTCGTATACATTTCGTGGAAGTGCATCCGTTGAAAAACCAAATGTTTGGCTTGCTAACTTCGTAATTTACATC